AAGAACTGCTAACTGAAATTCTGAAATGTGTTATTGAATCGAAAAGACAACTTAAGTGGACTTGTAATATAAATCATCGTAAAGAATAATACGAAGATTTTTCAGTTAATCTGAGATGCCGGCTTTTGAACGAACTCCTTTGCGACCGACTGAAAAACTATACCGGAAAAATGACTACTTACGTAATAAGAATGTATCATTTATTTTCGATGCATTATAAATTTAGATATGTTTCATTGAAAGCATTCACACAAATATTCATTCTTTTACGCATTTGATAGTAGAGTGCATTTGTAAATTGTATGCTTAAAGGAAGAGTACACTTCGGTTTTCAAAAACGTCTTCCCTTCCCAAGTAATTTCGAGCCCATCCTGCCGTTAAACTAACATTCAGTAATCTCAAATCGCAAGCAGAAATTTTTCCCTGTATGCAGAATTATGCATTCCTATGCGCCGCTTGAAAAATTACACTGCAGAAAATACTGCTTATGTAATGTTAATTTTATTATTGATTTTTGATGCCCTCATATCTTCAAATATGTTTCATAGAAGACATTCACACAAATAGTCATTCTTTTGCGCATTTGCCAGTAATCTACATTTTCAAACTTCATGCTTAAAGGAAGGGTATAATTCGGCTTTAAAAAGCTTCTAATTATGTAATTTTTGGGACTGCGAAAGTTCTGTTTCTAAAACATCACGTTGCTACTAATGTCACTTGTAAAGTTTTTAATATGGTTCAGGTTTCACTGTTAAATGAATGAAGCGTATGTTGTATCCTCTCAGTGGCGCATAGGAATGTATGATTCTGCATACAAGGAAAAATTGCTGCTTGTAATGTGAGATTCCTGAATGTTAGTGTAACGGCAGGACGGGCTTCAAATCACTTGAGAAGGGAAGACGTTTTTGAAAACCGAAGTGTACCCTTTTTTAAAGCATACAATTTAAAAATGCACTTTAATACCAAATGCGTAAAAAAATGAATATTTGTGTAAATGTTTTCTATGAAATATATCTGAATTTATAAGGCATCGAAAAATCAATGATAAAATTCTTACTACGTAAGTAGTCATTTTTCCAGTAAAGTTTTTCAGGCGGTCGGAAAGGAGTTCGTTCAAAAGCCGGCATCTGAGAACAACTGAAACATTTTCCTATTATTCTACACGACGATTGACATTACAACCCCGCTTAAGCTGTTTTTTTCGAAAAGTCAAGATGGCGAACGCACGTTTTCGGTAATTCTTCCTCAGGCCAATACAATTACATGAACGAATGAAAATGTACAAAATCAACAGTGCTTATAGATGCCTCAAGGGCTATTAAGTCACTAACACTCATCATCCCCACGCCGCCCGCATGGGGAGTCAAAAACACTTTAAAAATTCCGGTTAGCATTTCACGAGTTAGCACATTTTCTGTGTATTTCCAATTCATTACAGTATATAGAAATGTATAGTTTTCCTCGCACGAAAAGTATAAGCTTGTAGTTCCGAAATCCTGAATGCAAGTATTACGGCAGGTTAGGCCGCAAATTATCCATGGACTAAAAAAGATTTTTAGAACCAAAAGCTACTCCTTCTTCAAGCGAATAATTTGAAGAAAACGAACGTTTCTACCAATTGAGTAAAAAGACGTTTTTGTGCATGTTTTCCATAAATTATATTTGAATTTATAGGGACTCCCAAATCAATGGTTGATGTCCGTGCTATAAATGTATTCATTTTGTACGAAACCTGATTTATGAAAACGGTCGATAGGGAAGCTCGTTCGAAAGCCGGCATCCCGATGTGACTGGAGTATGCTGACATTGCGCGACAGGCTAATTAACATAACAAACACCCTAAAGTAATATGTTGCAATTAAAAACGCACTCCAGAATTCCAGTAAACATCTCACGAGATAGCATATTATTAGACCCCAAGGAATGTTTAAGAGACCCAAACAGCATTCCCTGCTCCAACGGTTTGCAGAGCAGACCGTGTCTTGTATACTGGCGAAAGACCTGGGCAATAGTTAGAGCTTCTGGTTGTCAGTTCCTGTGCCTCCTCCGGCCCGTCTTTGCTGCTCACTATACTTATCCCGTACGCTTTTAAAAATAAATTTTCCGTTCACGCAAATGTGGTTTGTCACGAATGGAGGCGAAATTTGAGATCCAGGTATGTGTAGGTAAAAAAAAGAAGGGTAATCGAACGATGGAGCATTCTGCTTATTGTTCTGAGCTTTCGGACTCGTGCAGGAACCCATCGTCGGAGATGGTAGCAACAAAAGGGACAAGCGACAATTATAGAGTTTTCTGGTCAATCTTCCCTCGGGGGGTGCTGCAGGTGGCTGTGCAGGGCTCTGTACGCCGGCGCCAGGTCTATAAATCGATTGGATGAGTTCTGATCAGAGGCCCAGGTTTCGACCAATTTACAGCATTTTTGTTTCCGGCGTGGACGACTATTTTGGTGCCTACGAAGTTGAGCTCATGATCCATTTCGTAGGTGCGGGCAGCCACTTGTGATAGTTCGCCTCCTCTTCACACAGTCAGCTTATGTCCGTGTACAGGCGATCCGAGCATGCGCTCAGTGTGGCGTGTGGAGTTACAAGGACAGTTTTGCACGAGATGCTATATACCACTCCAGAGTGCTCCTCGGGCTTTAACCAGTGTTTCGTCGTCATGGGTACTTTGCGCCCGCTGTACACTTTTCCACACCTAGTTCAACAGCAGTACGCTTTGTTGCTTCTGAAACATCCTCAATATGTGGCTTATCTCGGTGGCTTGAAATATGGCTCTTAGTATCAGGCAAATCAGTATGATGGGACCGCACGACATAATTCCCCATAATTGTAGAAAAGAATACGACTTTCTGCCGCGATTTTCAATGCCGGTCGAGTACCGTGAATGTCTGGCATAGGTAATTAGAACTTATTGCTGTTTCGTAACAACCTGACTAGTATCCAAGCTGCTATTCTAGGCTCCATCTAGCTGCTGCAATACGAAAGCTCGACCCTCGTGACCAAAGATGTACACAGTTTACTTCACAGCAAGGCGAACAAGGCATGGCGACTTGCGAGTGATTTTTTTATAGTGATAGGAGACTTGCGCTGCATCTACCTCACTCCCTCCTCCTTCCCCATTTGAACCCAGTGCCAAGACATAGCCAAGAAGACCGGAGGTGGGAAAGGGCGCAAATGGCTGGCCCGGCCGACCGTGCCTTTAGGCATACCACAACATCGCCTAGTCAACAGTAAACACTTGACCAGGGTTTTAGCCAATATTAACAGCACCATAACGGGTCAATAAGACGATGAGGATTAATGGGCAGCCATGTTCACGGCCTGGATACGCAGTTGGAAAGCAAGCGCATCTAACCAGGAACCAGCTGCCATGAAACTGTCGGCGCACACCGGATTACGAGAGTCATGGTTTGTTGAGACTTGTGAAACACACACATATACACACAGAAGGTATTGTCCTTCCGACTCCATCTCGCATTCATATGGGACCAGACGGATTGCAGAGAAGACGGTTTGGATGCAAGATTCACCACTGCGGGCTACGTCGACTTACAAAATCTCGCCTTCCACCAGTTCAAGATGTTATTTTGTTAAAAGGAACTGTTTTGGACCAGGTAGGGTATAATGTTCAATAACTTTCTATATCCCTCGAAATGCTGATTTACAACTGTTATTAACGAATCACGTATGAGCTTCCAAATTATTGATACATCATCTGTGTTTCTTTTAATCCTAATACCTTCAACATAAACAGACGGGTCTTTAAATATAGTCCACAGTTTACCTGTCCCTGCCTGTCAATTTTTAGGTCTGTGTACGCAGTTAGAAGTGTTTTTCCAGGAGAAAAGGAACTTCTTCGCTTTTCACATATTTCAGGAAGCTCCTACCGTGAGTCTTTCGCTGTTAAATTCGTATTCTGACTGTAGGACGAGACGTAAACTGTCCTGTCATCGCACAGCCCAAAATAAAACAATGAATAAATGACTGCAGATGGCAAATTCACATTCCAGCCCTGTCGAATCGTCATCCTCGCCTCGCGTGCAAATTCAGTTGGAGGCAACTAGAATGGAACGCAGAGCTTTTTTAAGAAACGGACTGTTGTCTATTGTGAAGTCTAATTCGCTAGGGAAGCCACATTTCAAACGTCAAGGGAAAAGTTATATGGACGCAAATAGCAGATGATGTGGAAAGCTCGCAAACAGAGATCTAGGAAGTAAAAGCGCTTTAAGTGGGTGATCCAGCTTATGGAGCGCTAATGTAAATTCTGAGGTCAGAAAATGCCATTTGTTTGCAGTTATAAATATCGATTAACTTGCAGCTATACGGCAGACATGCAGTCACGAAAGGATATCAGCTTTTAAATAGGGGTCATTCCAGACACTGGGAAAAAATCCACTCGTTAAAATTGACTACCTAGTTTATACGCACTGTTTCCAGTGATTTGATTTACATGCATTCCAAACGCAATTTACTGAAATCGTGCACAGATATATCATTTCATAAATGAGCCCTTTGACAATTTACGTTTTTGCAACAGAAAATTCGAAGAAATGGCATTTTTAAGTTTTTAGTTGATTATCTTCTAAGCTCATAAGGGCTTAATGTATGTAAATCTCGGTTTGGACTCTCTAGGGAGTATTACTTAGGGAACAGATACGACGATATTTAAGGAGAAAGGTTCGCAATCTTAACAACATCATGACCTGACTGCCACTCATTGTGCTGTTTAAATGTCAAGAAGACTTCAATTTACTGCAACATGCTCATATTTTAGACTTATAAACAAAGAACGTCAGGGGAAAATGAATTTGCGTACAGCCAAAAATTCATGCCTTTGAAGTTTGGCATCTCGATGTCGCTACTATACGTCTTTCGATAAGGCTTCATGATAACCATTGCAATACTTTCTAAGCACACTTATTTAACCAAGATCATTTCTCGGAATTTTAGTCGACGTTCCATTTAATGCCATCAACTGTTGTTATTCAGTAGCGTATCACCTAGCAAATCAGGTGCAAAATCAGTTTTCATGATTTTGAAAATAACCATTGTACTTTCAGTCTGACTTTTCCTGCTAGGGAAGAATGGTTATGACCTTTTGAAAATTGAAGTATGCGCCTGTGCAGAAGTGTTTACTGGTCACAGAACAATTTCGAACCTTAGGCGCCACAACAGTAGTTAGGGGGAAAATGTGCACTTTTATTGCAAGTTCCATCCCGGCGCTCGGCCGGAGAGTGTGTTTTCGCGCAGATGACAGTTTGCCCTTTTTTCGTGTCAATAGGTAGTGGTCTTCTATCTAAGTATGACTGCATGTTGCACGCATGCCTTCTTGAGTGTCAAGTGTTTTTTTTAAACAAACCTCTCAAGTCGGAGTCGGAAACATATAGCAATTCCTTGCCCCGCTTAAGCAATAGCCTTCTGCGTCATTAAACTCTGCTGAAGGCGTTTACCCTGTTTTTGCTGTGCATGTACGTCTCGGCCACCGTCGGTTTACGCATAGCAGTAAGTTTCCTTTCCTATGAATGGATATCCACTCTTTCTTAAGATGTTCCCTTTCCTTTTTTTCTCAAGTCAGCGACTTCGAACAAGTCACTAAGCGAGGGCTCCAACGCAGCTCCATGCTTGCAGCCCGCATTTTGCTACCAAGTGATGTCAGGTACGTTGGAATCTACAGACATTCCGTATGCAACTCTATATTACTGTTTTGTAAGCAATCAGCTTTTTTGCTACCCCATTAAGATCTCACCAGTAGATCTTACGAGCAAAAAGTGTTAACAGTGTCAGATTTAAGTCATCGGAAGGGGACTTTGGCATGAATATATAAAGATGTAGCCAACGTACTGCAAAAACCTGAAAATAATAGAGCTTCATTTTTGGAGATATCTGCGTAACTGGCTGAACTTTATTCCCTAATGAGGCGTGCAACTAAGAACGGCAGGTACATAATATATAGTAAGTGGGCTAACTCATGAATTCTCAACAGGAATTCCGAAATGGGCTTCCGCTTGGAAAAGATTAATTAAGTAAATTTGTAAATCCACTCGTCGTGCAGCAGCATTTTATAATAATTCATTTACCCCAGGATGCCTGCTTTCGAAAAAACGTCTTTTTGGCTGCATTCAAAAACTATACTCCGTAAGAAATGGCTACGTCATAAGTATGTATTTCTCTCATGGATTTTCGATTCCCTTAGCAATTTAATTATATTTCCTGGAAAACATACATACAACTATCCATACTTTTACTCATTTGGTAGAAAATTACGCCTTCTTTTGATTTTGCACTCGAAGGAGGGTATATTTTGGTTTTGTAAAACTTTTCCAATTCCAGAATATTTTTAACCCAACCTGCCGTTACACTTGCATTCAGGGTTCCCAAACTACAAGCCACATAATTTTCGCGTACGGAAAACCATATATTACTTTACGGTACTAAAGGGGGACCGTAGAGGGTTCATAAAATTAGGCAGTGAAGTTGAACCACACCGGTAACTTTACAAGCCACACTGGTAAATGCAGAGACGTGACGTTTTATAAATGACCGTTTTACGGTGTTAAACAATCTCACAATTAGAAACTTTTAAACCCGAATTAGACCCTTTTTTGAATGCAAAATTAAAGAAGACGTATTATCCTACCAAATGGGCAAAAGAATGGATGTTTTTATGCATGTTTTCCCTGAAATATAATTGAATTGTTAAGGGCACTGAAAATCCGTAAAAAACACATGCTACCTAAGTTGCCATTTTTTATGGAGTATAGTTCTTATATGCAGCCAAAAATAAATTTTATCGAAAGCCGGCGTCCTGGGGTAACTGAATTATTATAGAATTATACTGCATGATAATGGGTTTTACAACCCTATTTAATTAATCTTTTCGGAACGGAAACACCTTGTGAAATGTCTGTTGGCATTTCATGATTTAGCCCACCAACTGCATGTTGAACTTGTTTGTGCATTAATTGTGTTCAGGTACGCGCTCATTTCAGAGGTAATACACACCATCAGTGTCCAGAAAACAACCAATAACGGCCTGGTCTGACAAGCGCACTTGTGAAAAGGATAGGACGAATAATCTGGTTTAATCGACGAATAATGTCCCACACACACTTTTCGGATAATATTCTCCCTACAATGCGTGCTTGCAGACGACGGCGTCACCCATTAAGAGAACAGTCGATAGGCCGATATGTGATTTGATTTGGCCATAGGCTCAGACAGCAGCGACTAAAATGATTGGTTGATTATGACAATAAATAGTTCCGCCTTCGGGCAAGCAGTGATGATGCAGTTAAACAGGAACGCTCATATCATTTTCTAGGGAAATAATTGAGTAGAAAAATGGACCAGAATTAAATGACACGAATAAACAGATAAACAGAACAGTTTACAAATTTCCCTTCGACCCGCTGGTCTTTTTGCTCCTTTCAGTTCGAAGGGTTGCACTGATCGAGAGCCAAATGAGGAACGGTTCCGCGGCGGCCATCTTTTATCCTCAAAACGCATCACTTCTGCCAGTGGCTCTTTCCTTTGTTCTACAACAGGGAACAAGTAAGTCATAATCACGTGTCTTGAATTTATTGGATGCATAAGCCAGCCGGGCGTTGACTCAAGGTGGTGTACAATGAAAAAAGCACCTTCTGTCCAAACAATAATCTGTCATTCATGGGAGAGTTGGGATATCTTAGAACAGTTCCAACAACAGGAAGCGACTTCAGCGTGGATCCCAGCATGGTAAACGAGATCTAATATTCTCAATAGAACTGTGTTTCAATGGCCTTCTCTTATGTTCTACAGAAGGGAACAAGTAGGTCAGAATACCTCCTTGAGACTGTATCACCTGCATGCAATCTATAGAAGTTTGACCACGGAAGTGAAAAAAGCAACTGACAACTCCTGACTGTTTATCACGGAGTCCAGAAGACTTAATCAGTCTTCGTGGGGAAAGTAGTTCCGCTAAGATGTAGCAGACGCTCCAGTTCCTCCATTCGCCGGCTCCGTTTTGTGAGGGCAGCCGGGAGTCACTGCAGCTGGACAGGAGGGGCCCCAGTTCTAGCCGGCGGGAATGGTCGTGTGTCAACGGCCTGTCAACGATTGTCACGACCATCGACCGACAAAACGGAGTCGGAGAAAAGGGGATAGCTGGAGCGTCTGCTACAAAGAACACATCTAACAACAGGCAGTGACTTTTCTATTCTTTTGATCATTGCAAAGAAGATGTGCGCTGTACATGCCACACTCTTTATTTTTACAGCCAACATGGTAAACTGACTAGAAACAGTGGAGACGATCCGAGAGCAAGCAGCCGAAGTCAAGCGACACGTGTAGGCTAACGGAACACAATCCAGGCGTCAAAGGAGAGATTAATTGGACTTCATATTGTGACGCAAGAATCGTTAGACCATGGATCTCTTGATCTTCCGGCAGCTAAATAAATGCGATTTCCAGAAATTCCTAGGGTAAATGCCTCATTAAATCGGACAGACGGGAGTGTCAGTTATTCGTGACGTCTGAGCAAGAAGATGACTGGTTGGAGAATCAGGCTTACATATCCATTTCACAATCACACATTTATTTGATATACCCTACATTCTCCAAAAAAACCTCACGATCTTGACTTCTTCATATGTGAAAAAGCTTGTCATCTGTTTGGTACGGGCTATCAGTCGTAGATATGGTTGCACCCTCCTCACAGTCTGTTGGTGCTCGTGCATCCGTGTCTTCCCCTGACAGTCACTTTTTCGACAATCGGTTGCACTGACCGACCTCCCTTTTATGTCCTTCGATGACAGCACCTGCCATCAGAGTTATGCTACAGACCTACTCCAAGCCGCATGTCACATCAAATCCCGGCTCCGTTATCACTTTTTTACGCTTTCTTGTGTATGATGCAGGTAAATGAAGAACAAGTATAAAAGTGTTCGTTGAACGGGCTTGCGGTCTTCGTCCGTCTATTATGTCTGCGCGTAAACACTAATTTACCGAATGCGAAGTCAACCACCTAGCCTTGGTTTGACCCTCTTCGCTATGCGTCTGTTTATGCGGCTAAGGCGAATAGCACGCAACATACTCTTAAAGCAGATAGTTCTTGATAATTTCGCGGTTCCGTTTACACTCTGGAATTCTATTCAAACCCGGCAGTGTCCGCAAATCGTGCTATTTTGGGGGTCAAGATGCTCTTTAACCAATCTTACTATATGTGGGAGCATTGGAAAAGTGTCGTTGACGAAAAGACCTCTGGCAATGTACCCCGATGAGTAGGTGACGCTGAAGACCTTAGAAACTGGGCATAGATACGCAAGCTAGGGAAATAAAGTTTTGATCGCCAATATTTATGAGAGCATTTTACTAAGCGAAGTAGACATATCAATCTCATGAAACATTCCTGGCGTTTTCAATCGGTCCAGCACGTTGATTGGGCCTATTGCGTTTAAGCGGTGATTAAGAACCTTTGCCGAAAGAAGTTATTGTATTTACAACTGCGATCTGGTTAGACTTGTACTACTTCCAGGTCTGACAATGTCCAATGATAAAAGTCTACCCCACCTGCAAATCTAAAGAAATTTCTGAACACTGGGCTTGTCAAACCTGTACTGAACTTTGGAAAAACTTGTGGCTTGGAGCATCAGGGAAATCACTTCTCAACGACAGCGATTCATACTTCTTTTTATTCTTGCGGTACATTTGTCACCATAGGATGTTTCCAATGGCATAAATGCCTTTTTATTCACAAATAAGAATGGGTTTGAGAAAACACCATTTCGTATTTTGACGGTTTGATTATTAGCGGCATCAGCTACAGCAAGGACTTTTTATACAAGCAAAAATTTATGCAGTGGTTATATATAGAATTTTTGTTTTTAATCGCCGATCGCCCAAAAGGAGATCAAGCGAGATTCTGAGTTTCACCTCTGACTCGATTTTGCCTGTAAGCATTAAATACAAAAGCAGAAATTATACGGCTGCTTTTTTCACCAAACCTTGCAAACTACACTCTAACTCTGAGTGTCCATCAAAGCAAGTTTCATATTAAAACCATTGCGCTCTAATTCCCTTCGGAACTTCAAAGAATTGCAGTTTTTGAAAGTATTACCAGGATGGTTAGACTGCGGCAGGTTTTCAAATGTCTCGACCTGTCTCATGAGAGATTTGGTCAGTTCTAAATTGCTTGCTTAATTTCACTTACAAATGTCTTTCTGCATAAAATTAGCAGCAAAAACTTGGCTCAGGATTCGCAAGATATGTTAACATTGTAATAAACAGACTGACCATGATGCAAATTGAAATTCAAAATGGCTGTTGCGGTTATTTTTAAGATTTTTAGATGATGGTTTTATTATCAATGATTTCTGCCCATTACTGAAGGTCCCTTCCAGTTCCGAAGATATTTTTTGTTGTCATAATTTTTATACCGTTGTTGTACTTTTAGAAATTTAAGTGTCATCGATAACTCTTATAAACGAAAATTTCCCATCCTTGCAATAAGTAATCAGCACGAAGTACTTGATGACGAATATTATTAAACCAAGTGTCTGGGCACAGTTAGACTTCTGAATTTAGCTTAAATTCCTAATGTTGGCCTCAACCCACTTAAAACGCCCAAGGAATACCTTCAATTCACTCTCGCATAGAAAAGGCGCTTTAAGAACTCTTGATTATCGACCGTCGCCTACCTCATACCCCCGGCACGCTGCCCACCCGGCCTATTTTGTTCAGGTTCGATTCAGGTGCATTGTCCATCTAAGCAGCACACACTTTTCAACTGTCTTCGACGATTGCAGTAACAAAACGTTCGGCCTGCTCGCATCCCGTTCGCCAAAAGTTTACCTTGAGAGCAGGTAGAGTTTAATGAGCTGTTATCACAAAAATATACATGGAAAGATGGACATATTAATTGATTACCACTTAATTATGGTCGTGACCACAACAAGCATTCAGTTCATAGGCTGGAATGATGCATCTGTACGCTGATATGACCAATCCTAAAAGCAGCACAGCACGTTAACCGCAGTCGGTCTTAATCGAAATCTGAATGCAAACAACCATGCGTGGCAATCGAGAACGTCACTTTCGTGTTAGACTCAGACACACTGGCCTCAAACAGTAACTGGATTTACAAGTGAAATCGGTCTACAGTAGGTGGGCTAACTCATCGAAGTGTCAGGTGAAATTCCGAAATGAGTTTACGTTTCAAAAGTAGTACTTAATTTAGGCTGAGAAACTAATAATCATACAGCATAATTCTATAATAATCTAGTTACCATAGTGTGCCGGCTTCGCGAATGAGCTTATTTTCGGCTGCGTGCAGGAACTATACTCTGAAAAAAAATGATTAAATACGTAGCATGCAATTTTCTCGTTGATTTTTCATGCCTTTAAAAGTTTAATTATATTTCATGAAAAACGCATAAAAATATTCATTCTTTTATTTTGCCGGTAGAATATTAGGTCCTCGTTCAGTATTATGCTAGAAGGAGGAGTATAATTCAGTTTCAAAAGTTTCTAATTGCAAGATTCTGTAATACCGTGAATTGGCAGTTCATAAAACGTAATGTATCTGCACTTACCAATGTGGCTTGTAAAGTTAACAATATTACTCAAATCCACTGCTAAATTTTAAGAACCCCATATAACCTCCTCTTGGTTCCGTAGAGAAGTGCGTGGTTTTCCGTACGCGGCTTATGGTTCGGTAATCTAGAATGCAAGAGGATGTGATTTCCCACCAAATGAGTAGGAGAATCAATATTTTTATGCCGCTTCCTCTGAAATATTATTGAATTCTTAAGGGCATCGAAAATCATTGAGAAAAGTGCATGCTTCTTACTTAGTCATTTTTTACAGAGCATAGTTACTGCATGCCCGAAGGCCGGCAGTAGCTGGATTATTATAGAATTCTGCTGCATGGTAATTAGTTCTATAACCCTTCTTAATTAATCTTACTGAAACGAAAACCCATTTTGAAATTTCAGCTGCCATTTCATGAGTTAGCACACCTACAGTAAACTCTTGCTAGCTCAGGGGGCGAACCTTGATACCTGGATAATAGTTTACGGAATGCTCTAATCTCAGGGGATTTTTAAATAACTAACTTGCGATGACTGTGCTAGAATTTGAGAAAGTCTGGGACTCAAGCGACAGGACGGAAACTGCTCATACTTCAGATTTATTTTCGTCTTAATAGTTTGCTTACCTCGACAGGTTTTTTTCTTATAGACTGCGAGTGCAATTGATCAGGTAAGTTTATCAGGAAGGTCACCTCTAATTGATGATTATAAAACGGGGGCTTCATCCAGTAACTGGACTTGAAATGGAGTTCAGCAGGGGTTCGTGCTAGTTACAGAGGCTGACTGTGACTGCTAATGCCTTGGTGAAAGCATTGACCAAACAATAAAAGCATCGTGATTGCGCTAGATTTTAAAAAAAGCAGTCTCCCAGAGAAAAGCAGAGAAATCACTTTCGATGACGTCTTTGCAGCCTTATATTCGTTCCTGTGGAGCGCGCTATTCAGCAGGTTTTTTCAGGGTCTTATTTATAACAGGTTCAAGGGCCTGCGTAGAAAGAATCATCATTAGATATTTTCAGAGTTTGGTGATTTGCTCCTTTAGCACATTTTTGTACACTTAAAACCTCGAACTATATGTTAAAACCTGGGTTTTAAGTCACAAACCTTTAAATGAGAATATGGTGGAATTTTGGACCTCTCACCTAAAATCAATTTTTCCACATAAGGAATACGCACGTGTAGAGTTTTGTCGCCCTGTTTGTTGTGACAGACGGCATCTGGCTTCATGCGCTACACACGCATTGAAATATGGGTGTTTTGAATCAATATATCTTAGAAGTGATTTACTTGATATTTGTGCAGTGTCGGGTCTCCTTACTATTTGCTCTGCCTCTGTCCAGTTTTATCTCTCGACGTTGGTATCTTCATTCGAATTTCAAACCTATTTTGCATATTCTCATGTGAGGTAGTCATGTGGATATAAAAATACGCCTCAAATTTCAAGAGGCATTTGAGCGTAATAAGTACATACCAAGCGCAGATATCCTTGAAAAATGAAATTCCTCGTCAGGAGTTCACTGCATCTTATATATAAGTAGCTGCAACTCCAACTACTAATGAATTTTACCACAAGCTCCTTTTGACTTAAAATAAATCCCAAAAGTCCATTTTTTTCAGGAATTGTAGGGTCACCAGCGTTTTCTGATTATAAAAACTAAGAACAGTAAATGACCAATCTCATACAATGTTGTCCCAAATTCTGAAATGCCTTTTCAAACAGGATCTATTACTTAAGTGGGTTGTAATATTAATTAGCATGCGGCAAAATGCAATAATATTTCTGACTAGCCAGAATGTCTACTACTGAATGCACTTCTTTCCGACCTCCTGTAGAAATCTCACTTGGTTAAGCATTACTACTTAATTAGCGTGCATTTCTCACATTGGTATTCGATGGCCTTACAAATTCAAATATATTTTATAGAAAACATGCCCAAAAATATGCTTTAGGTTACTCGTTTGGCAAAAAATCACGTTATCTTTACGTCTTATAGTCGAAGAAGGATATACTTAGGTCTTAAAAGGTTTTTAATTGTGCGATTTTTAAGATCGTTTTATGTTCATTCAAGTAGCATTTCACTTGCCAGTTTACCAATCCTCCTCATTAACTTGAAAATTAGTTTACATACATTGCAAAATTTATAAACTCTATTTGATATCTTCGTAAAGCTCAAGAGAAATATATGGTTCTTCTTACACGGAAAGCATGCATTTTGTATCCTAAAATCGGTAAACGCTGCTGCCACGGCGATTGGGAAACATTTTGAAAAACTAAATATACCTTTTCTTTGAGTACAAAATATAAGAGCGGCACGTGCAATCGTCGCTTGAAAATTGGGGATATTTTATTAAGTTATTCACAAGAAATACAATGAGCCGCCTAGCGAGTAGCGAATTATATATCGTACTAGGGTTAAAAAATTTCCCCTAAGTCTTAAATTCACTTGCCAGAAAGCATGCCACAAATACTTTTGGAAAAATCAGACACACTGAGACACATGACACATAAGAATACTGAACACTTTTCCGTCATCTTAAATGTGTATACATGCATATATATAAGAATTCTTAAAGGGGGCAGTCCAATAAATACGGTTTTTTGCAGTAGAGCTCAAGAACCATCGTCAAATAGAGCTTTTTTTATTATGAGAGTACAATATCCTTAAAACTACAAAAAACAACATTTTCGTTTCTTTGACCGTGTATTCTTCTATTTGCAAGCAACCTGAACCTACCTGTTCTGCAAACTACCACATGAAATGAACTGTTATATTTGAATTACGTTAGATTAGATAACGTAAATTACTAAAGCAATGACGTCCTCTCGAATGAGAGGAGAAAGCCTTTTTTGGCAATGAACGATTTGACTACAAACTGGGCATTAGTCAGTGGAACATCATTATATGCTACACCACATGAACCTGTTAATATACATTTTCGTTGGTGTTCCGTGAATTTCTGCATATAAGTTGTACATCATATTTTGCTCTTCTGTTTTCTTAAACATATTCATGGTGAATTGAATGGAGGTAGCTTATTATTCCTCCTACTCAACGTCCGACGGCCTCCCGAAGACCTGATGACTACTCGTGAAATATGTCTAACTTGCTGACTTCACCAGAGGAATTATTTTATGTTAAAACTTTTCTATCTCTGGCTGTGACAAATGATCAGCATAATGCGCGTTTCTTTGATGCCGTCAGACTGCATTCGAAAAAAGTTTCATTTATTTTGAATTCTAGGCCCTCAGCTTCCTCCAGATGTTCGTTTACTGAAGGAATTTGTGATTCCATCAAATATCGTTCAGTCCCATCTGCTTCTTTTCAGCAACGACATCGGCGTAAGTGAAGCAGTGTTTCCACTTTTCCCTGTGTAGCAGTAGACAGGTTTCTGTTTCATTACATAAAATATCGATTTAGTTGCCTTAAAATTACCCTCAACGTTACCTTTGTTGGATTGTAAAGTAGCAAATTGTTAGCTGAAGTGTTTTTCGGTGATAAGATAAGCGTGAAACATCACGTTTTTCAGTAAATCCAGAAGTATATACGGGTAAAAAGTCTAAATGATAGATATTTGCCATAAAATTGTGTCCCCTTATTGTGTCAACTGATTATCGTCGTTGTGTTTTAATTGGATAAAATAAACTTATCAATTAGAGCGCGACCTACAGGGAGAAGACATGATAGGTAAATAAAACACTTACGCACCGGAGACAATTTTGTCTAGACATGACTTCAAATCAATAAGGCTCTCTCTAGTTTGTGCCATTATGTATCTCTGTTTATGTTTTAGCATGTTGGAACAGTTGGTGAAATTGTGGGCCCTGATGAACGATGGGATCTGGCAAAACTAAAACTGGTAACTTTTTCGAGTAAGTCGTCGCCTACAGACCTAAGGCGCCTATCTAATATCAGGATAATAGCCAACCTTCAAAAACAGAATCAGCGACGGTCAAGGATATGCTGGTTTATGAATATGGTCGCAAGACGATGTCTGGTGTCCGTCAGAGGCACGTAAACGTCGTTTAAACTTTTCGCCAACCAATGCTTGTGGGGAATTTAAAAATTCATGGAGGGGTCAAAGAACGCGACGGTGGAAGGCAGCTGTAATCGAATCTAGGCAGGTGATTTGGCGTTAACTTGCAGCAACTGTTTGTACTGGCGGCGGATTCAGAGGAGATCCTTGAAATTTGGAGCTGGAACCGGTGACGTAGGTTTTGGAAGAGGTAAACAGAAATGAGGATCTACTTCTAGAAGATGTCAACTAATAATTCTGACGCAGAGAATCGCCGCTGCGTTATTGCCCCGACCCGTTGAATGTCAAGTTCACTTGTTTTGACAAATTTACCGAAAGAAGCCTGGACATTTAGGATGTTCAGAGATTTTTTGTAGTGACCTTTTTTAAAAAACTCTCCTTTTCATTTCGCAAACATGTTTACCTCAATTTTTCTGGAAGAGCACTTAATGTTCTCTCGAACTTCGATGTGCTACTGCTTCGACATAGAGTAGTTTCCGTCTACGAAATAGGAAAGAAGGTTTTTGCGCGACATCAATTATTGTACCTAGTTACGAGGTCCAACCCCGATAGGTAAACACAAAGGTAAAATTCTGTCAAACGGATACTTTAGTTATTTAAATCGAATAGTGCCTTGGGTCCCACCCCCTGCCTTTTCACAGAACAAACGTAAACCGGACTCTCATACTTTCCGTCGAGGCTTGCGTGATTTCAATTATGAATAAAGAACCACCAAGACTAGCTAAAGAGAACTCACATAGTCAAATAAACAGTCTGCTCTTTAACAGTGCTTTGCTGGAATCAGCCAAAATAGCTTCACTGTCTTGAGAAACAGGGCCCCCCTCTTGCTCGCCTTAACTCTCTTGGCGTCCTTTTTGTCTGTCTCGTAGATCAACCACAAGACTCGCAAGTGGTCTACATCTCCGGTCGTATGGAAACGCAAAGCTTCTGGGTGAGGCTGAAGTTTCCCTCCAGACCTGATTTCACCATGATGTTTAGCCCTACGCCAAAGATGATGTACCCGCCCAGTCCTCCCGTCTGGATTAATTGGGGAAATCTGACTATCACGGAGACCTTGGCTGCAGCTTCGGGAGCAGGAGGACCCACTACGTCCTGTGCCCTGCTCGGCATACTGATAGTAACCACGTTCCTCTTCTGCAAAACTGGGTGACCGTTCTTGTCGCAGTCACATTAGCCCCCCTCCCCCGCCCTACAAGTGCAGTGTGTCTGTTGGCATCTCATTTCCGCTGCAGGCTAGGTGCTCGGGACATTTAGTCTCCTGTGATTTAGTCAAAAAGTGTCCAGGCTGCTATTTTTTCATCTACAGACATTTGACATTACTTTTATTCTTATCGCCCAACCAGTAAGTTTAACCGCTGAAAATAATTCGCATTGTCAGCTTTTTGTACTACAGGTTTTGGAGTGTTAATTCAGGCTTATCTCTCCCAACTGCAAACGTCCCTCTAACCTACAAGGGCGTGTTCTACTAACTGCTGTTTCCTGCCCGTGTTATCAAAACGGGTCTATCAGAAAGTAGGGTTTGGAACCCAGCAATCCCCAAAACACTTACAGCAGCCGACCGGCGGGTTTGAGAATCGAATCCGGATCGACTTGGTTGTTGGATCTAGTACACTATACGCTGAGCAATGGGCTGGACTGATGTTACTGTAAGACGAAATATGTGCGTTCGATTACATCTCCGAACTTCAGTTTGGTGCTAGACTGACGCATACAGTGGGGCTTAAATATCCGTTCTTTCCGGTGGAAGTGTGGTTATCGGTCCACTTCTAAATCTGATTTAGACAGATGTTCTGAACCTAAATAGGAAGGCAGAGTGGAAATCCTATATTCTGTTCTCCGGTCAAACTTAAATCGATTAGCATTATGTGGTTCGCTGAAATCCCTTTTGGTAAGTCGATTTTGACAAACATACGTTTTCAAGTATTGCCTATCAGTTGCCATAGGGCAGCAAAATTGATAAGGACCAAGGTATAATATTTTCTGGGGGTGGGGGGTTAAGGGGTTTCAGACATGAAAGACATCAGGTGTAACGGGAGCTTGCCTCTGCTAAGTACACGGAGAGGGGAAAGAATAGAAGCTGAATCAGCTAGTGAGTACTGCTCATTTTTCCTCAGTGCAGCACGATGTGGCAGGACGCGGAGTGAAGGCGTGACTTGGCCTGAAAAGAAAGCTTGCTGGCTCGAACCAGCATCTTCTTCGCGCACGCACACGAATGGACTGGTCAACCGTATGGACATTGTCTGTGCCTCCGCAAATATCCGCCGGCGCAGGAACATGGGGTGCCTGGCCTGTATTTTATAGATGACTCGCAATGCTTGGTTGACGACTACTCGATGGGGGTGTCAACCAATTAGACTAGAGGGAGACTTCTTCATGTCTTGATTTAGCCAAACAAAATGGCGTCCTCGCGTCCGCTTGAATAGCCGCCCTGTCTCGTTTGGCCTGCACATTGCAGAAGTCTGGAAGGACAGTATCTCCTCACGCTGAAGACGAAGTCGATTTCCTTGAAGATCATTTGTGCTGTTTGTTAAAACCCTGAGGAGTCTTAATGTGTGAATTCCACGCGATAAAGAGCTTAAGCTAGTATTAAAATGCTCGATAGCCGCATAAACACGCATGCTGTCAGGTAGTACCGTGAGTGTGTCTGGTCAACATTTGCCTGCTACTGGCTACAACTTTGTAGATCAGATCAGACCAGATCCGATTTATTAGGGGAAAGGTAGGCGAGCGCCTTTTAACTTACTTTTAGATACAATAACGTCACAAAAACAATTTGCAAGGCAAGTGTCACAGAAAATTACATAGGTAAATACAATGGTAGGGGGCGCTCACCGATCGTTCGTACGCAACTCACTCGTTCCGTTGTGCCTTACGGGCTCTCTCTCGAGCCCAACCAGCAGCCGCACAGCGGCCATTCTAGTCTTCCTTGTCTTTGTCGGTAATACCATTCTGCCTATATATCATGCGCCGCTGTGCGGCTGCTGGTTGGGCTCGAGAGAGAGCCCGTAAGGCACAACGGAACGAGTGAGTGCCGTATGAACGATCGGTGAGCGCCCCCTACCATTGTATATTCCCGATCGAAAACCGGACGGGGCAACGGGCTCGTGGCCCGGTGGGTAGAGGCGTGGAGTTCTAAACCAATAGGTTGCGAGTTCGAGGCTCGTGTGTTCCACACTTCGGGCTTGGGTATGGCTGGCTGACGACGGCTAATAAGCCAGAAATGGCCATTCTAGTCTCCCTTGTCTTTGTCGGTAATACCATTCTGCCTATAGGTAATTACATACAGCAAGCATTGTTAACCGGTACAAATTTGTCTGTGAATGCCTTCTATGTCTAAATTGTACAATAACCAGTACGCGGTACTGAAGTAATATCGAAGCAATCGCATATGTTTCGGTTAGAACACAACGAAAAGTCATAAAATAATGCTGCCTAAATATAGGGGGTAGCATGCTTTGGGGTGGGTGGTACAGGGAGGAAATTTGTTAGTTTCTAATGCCGTGGAGGCGCATATCCCTGTACTAGTCAAGCTTCCTCTTAAATGTGTCCACGGATGAGGACATGACGACGTCCACAGGCAGGGCAATCCATGCCTTTACCAATCTCGCCCCTGTCACACGTAGTTTCAAAGGATGTCCTCTCATGCTAGTAGTGGTGGCCAGCTCAAAGAAGTCGCCGGATGCGAGGCAGCAGTCCTGACCCCGTAGCATTCTAAACGTTTGAATCAAGTCGTCAAGTCGTTGTGTGTAGTCCAGGCGAAGGAGGTTAAGACTTGACAGTCTAGTTTCGTAAGGTAGTTTTTATGACCTCTGACAAGATTTGTTGTCCGTCGTTGGACTTTTCGAGGGTGGCACGATATTTGACAGACCAAGGTCTCCAGGCCTGAATGGTAAATTCTAACTGTGGCCGCACAAACATCCCAAAGGCCTTGTGAAAAAACTTTTCGTCGAACTTCGCAAATGCCCGCTTGATGAGATATAAGCTGGAAATTGCTGATTTCGCTGCTTTCATGCAGTGGACTGATGGCTTTAGTGATCCTTCTGATCCTTCTGAACCTCTACCACTGGCAGCTGTATGCGATTTAGATAGTACGTCTTCCGTTGAAATTATTTTCTGAAGTTGATTTAAGAATCTGCTTGTCACTTAAACACTGTAAACAAAAGGACAAACAGCAGTTTTGGCATACGATAATGCTAGAATCAGTAAACAGTAAAAACCGATAAAATTCTACCCTTTGGCTTCGCCATTTCCATAGAACAAATCTTCTGGGAAAAGAGTTCAGGGTAGAGTTCGTTGTCCAACTCGTTTAATGAAGGTGATTTAAATTGAACGTGCCTCGCAAACTTGTTGTAAAAAACCATACTGATCAAGTAGGCATTGGTAACGTACCTGTCTGCAACCCTCGTGCTAACCTTATATAACGCAGTTTGTTCTACCTGCTGAAATCAACTGAGTAGTTCTGATTTTCTCAATCGACATTTGAAAAGTCAAGTTGGCAAACACGTGTTTTGATAATTCTTCATAGGGCCAGTACAGATACACGGTGGAAGGAAAATGTTCAAAATTATCAGTGTTTATAGATGTCTCAAGGGCTACTAAGTCATTAACACTCATCGACATTTACTGAAGCGAGGGCGTGTCGCAGGTGACAGACAGTTGCCTAGTCTAGTAGTCTAGTTGGCATATGAGTTAAATTTTGAGATGGTGCTGCATACTCGGTGCGTTGCAAAGTTTCTTAGACAATAATTCCCAATTAAAACCGTATTTTAGTATTTCAACCAATCTCGCATGAACCCACGAAGCACTCTGTGGGTGACTCAAGCCCAAGTTTACCCACGAAGGCTGATACAATCTATGTGAAATTAGTTTATTCGCCTTTCGACTCTTTAGAGTTTATAGATCACCGGAGGACAACATCGGACTGAAAATACCGTCAAGAGACACAAAATCAAGTGGACATTTATCAATTCCCAACCGGAATGTGATTTTCAGGTGTGACGCAAATGAATTAATAAGTTTTGCATACTAACTTCAGGAATTCAGGTAAGAGCTGCAGAAAGGGCAAAAGTTTGGAGTTGTAAATATATAAGGATCACTAATGTGGGCTTCAAAAATGCCTTAAAATTCAGGCAAACCGAAAGGAGAGAATATAAAATACAGGGACTATTTCAGTGAAGACTGACGGAAGGCCTGAAGCTCTTCGAGTCCACATAATTTAAATCTCGACACAATGAGTGCTATCTTTCCGCTTAGGAGGATCGGAAGGTATCTTCTAAAAACCAGTGGTATTTTTAAAAGAAAGAAATACGCCATAGGTTTTGCCGACTTCTTTGCATCAGTCATAGCCAATGCTTTATTTTTTTAAACTTCAAGAGGCCACCTCGCACACCAAGGCGCATGACTAACAAGTGCTCTGAACGCTTTATTTTTTTAGTTGTTTCAGACAGTTGCCTGCTTTTTCAGTAGTTTTTTAACAGCATTTTTATAGTCTGCACCCAGGCACCGTCGGTTTAATTGTGTTTTTGGTCTTCTCCGGTATTTTTTTTCTTTTTTTCATTAGGGGCCTTAAGGTTTGTGAGCGTCTGCAAACCTGGCTGTCCGCTGGCGATTTTCTGGCACCTGATTCCCTGCCGGTAGATGCGCTTACGCCTTCGTCGGCAAACATGACAGAAATGGCCATTTCGGACTTTGCATCCGGTCTTTCAACATTTCTTAAATTCGAAAAAATGACTTATATATCGGGTTACGATGCCTAGAATAAGGGCGATGGTGCCGAAATTCGCCCAGCGGGGCAGTAGCGGCGTCATCACAATCAGTCTATGGGAGCTTACCTTCGGTTGGACGACAAGTTTTAGACGAAGTATTTTCGGTGACGAGGAGGTTACAGCATCTCCTCATCCTTCCTGCTCACTCTCCTCAAGATGTTTAGTTGAATGCATCGTTTGAGAGTGAGCATCATCTGTTTTGTTTCAAGTCAAATTTCGGGCCATAAATGTCGTCCTTTTCCGTAGTTGGGTAACCAAACGTGTGAGCGAAGTTGCTGAGTAGGAGGAAAGTGCAAGATAGATGACGATCAAGGAGGCTGCTGTTTTGTATGACAAGGCAGGAGTGTTAAAACGCTGATGAATTTGTTGCACAGCAATAGACATT